TGTGTGCGTGCGTGCGTGCGTGCACCCGTAAAAGATCGTTGTTTGTTGTTCCGCGTTCGTTGTCGCCCCGCGTGCTAACCCCCCGCTCCGCTCCTCCCCCGTGTTGCAGGCATGAAGCGCAAGCGCACGCTCTACGACCCGATCGACGCGTCAGCCGCCGCGGCCGCAGCCGACGCCGCCTCGTCGCTCGCCGCCAAGAAGCCGCGCATCCTCTTCACGGACGAGCAGAAGTACGCGCTGAAGGCGGCCTACGCGCACGACCCCTACCCGTCGACGCAGACGATCGAGGGCCTGGCGACGTCTCTGCGGCTCAGCACGCGCACGGTCGTCAACTGGTTCCACAACCACCGCATGCGGCTGAAGCAGCAGCTGCCTCACCGGCCGTCGAGCGCCGAGGAGAGCGGATCGCGGCTCGGCGACTCCTCCGAGGACCTCTCCAACCTGTCGGGGGCCGACGGAGGAGGCGAAGGAGGAGGAGGGGGAGCGTACCTCGCCGAGTACGGAGGAGGGGGAGGGGCGGCGGGAGGAGGGGGCGAGGGGGAGACGTCGCAGTGGCTGTTCCCGTCGTTCCAGCGCGTCGACAACGGCGGTCGCCGCGACGACGACAGCGATGGCGGCGGCGGCTGGGGCGCGCGCACGCCGAAGACGGAGTCGAGCGAGAACGGCTACGGGGTAGCGCCGGCGGGCGGGGGCGGGGGCGGGGGCGGGGTTGCGGCGACGCCGCAGCACGAGGGCCGGCCGGTGAACAAGCGCAAGGCGCACACGCCCAAGTGGGTGCACCCGAGCGTCAACGAGCGGGCCGTCGTCGTCGACACCAACGATGCCGCCGCCGCCGCCGCCGACGCGCTCGCAGAGGGCGCCACCGGCGGCTCGACGAGCGACTCGCTGAGCGCGCAGACGTCGCCGGTGAAGGACGAAGACGTGCCGAGCTCGCCAGAGGGCGCCGGCGGCTGCGGCGGCGGCGTCAACGGCGAGTGGAAGGACGCCGGCGGCGGCGGCGACGAGAGGAAGTGGACGACAAGCGAGCAGCCGAGCGAGATCATCAACGGCGTCTGCATCCGGCAGACGAGCGCGCTGCTGCTCAACGGCGGCTGCGACGTGGCGGTGGCGCCCCCTGGCCTCGGCAAGGCGGCGACGATGAGCATCGAGAACGTGCATCTGCAGCAGATCGAGCGACTCAACCGCTCGATCATCGACCTCGTCGAGGGCGGCAAGCCGCCGACGCCCCCTGGCAGCGAGACGCACAGCTCGTTGAGTCGGCCCGGCTCGGCGTCGTCGTCAGATGGCGCCGGCGGCGGCGGCGGCGGCGTCGCGGAGGAGCGCATCTCGAACGTGGAGCGGCTCCAGCGGACGATCGAGGCGGCGGCGGAGGACTGGGACGAGCCGCAGGTGAAGAAGCTCGAGCAGGAGACGAACATCGAGAAGATGCAGCAGAGCATCGCGCAGCAGCCCGAGGAGGAGGAGTGGGAGTTCTGATGATCATCACCACCACGCTCGCTCACGACGAGGGGTTGGGGGGGGGAACCGCAGAACTCCGGGTGGAATTCCGGAGTGCCGTATTCCAGATTTTCGCCGAGCGATGGGAATTTCGGACATTCGCAACGGAATGCGGAATTTTGCGACATTCGCGCGCGCGAGCGAGAGAGTTCTATGCGTTCGCGAAGGAATGCAGAGTTCCAGACATTCGTGAAGTGGTGGGAATTTCACATATCCGCCGAGTTCTGTGAATTCCGTACAATAGCTGTGAGAATAGTGTGAGAATTCCAGACACCAATATGAGGAGGGAGAAATCTGCTGATTATCTGAAGAGGAGGAAAAAATCGCGAGAAAAATTCGATCAACGTGTGCGATGGATGCTGTGCACTCGAGCAAGAATTCCCGTTGTTAATTCCCTCGCTACACGAAACCAGTGACAGCTAGTGCAAGCTAAAATCCTGGCTCAGCCGGTCGCGTGGGGGGTCGAAAGGGAGGGGGCAGAGAGAGAGAGAGAGAGAGAGAGAGAGAGAGAGAGAGAGAGAGAGAGAAAGAGAGAGAGAGAAGAGTAGCAAGACAGGAGAGAGAGATAATAGATTCTCAGTTCTATTTTCGTCGAGGAAAAATACACGCGATTGAATTTTACGCGAGATTTTGCGGCGGCATCAGCGAGTGCCGTTCTCATGTTTTGCAGCCGCCGCGGCGAATAACAACATTTGACTCTGACTGTCATTCTGCGGTCGTGAACGCCAGGGGGCGCCAGTCATTCCCGACGCGGGCGACAAGCGCCGCCATCGCGCGCAGACGTGGCGCGAGTTCGACGCCAGGTGGCGCCGGCGAGACGCTCTTCGAGTTTCCGTTTTTGCGCATTCCGGTTTCTTGCTCTCATTAGGACGGACTAACAATCGCACGTAATTAACAGCAATCTTAATTAACTAACTGATCATTCTTATCTCTATCTAATCCTTAGTATGCACCCCCCCCCTTCTCCGCCTCCTCCTCCTCGACAAACCTCTGCCCCTCCAACTGCTGCCACCCCTCCCCGTTCCGCGGATAGTCGAGTCGCATACTCACGTCTGGATGCTCTTTGACGGGCACGAACACTTTCTCTGTGAGGGTGAGGCAGGCTCCCTTCGGCTCTGGCAGCAGGAGCGGTTTTGATTCTGAGAGAGAGATGGGTGAGGACTGCGGTAACATCTCAGGTTATGCGCTAGGCTAACTGTTGCAACGTAGGCTTTAATTGCAAATCTCGTCGTTTTTTTGATACGGGAGACTGCAGAGTGCAGACTGTCTTTTTTTGAAATCTCTGTCTCCGGGAGCGTGCTGTGCGAATCGGTGCACTCGTAAGGGTGTTGGGTAGAGAGGGGCTGGGTGTGTCATTACACGTGTGACGCACTCTCCTGTTGCTCTCTAGCTAGAGAACGCAATCTGTAGAGACGGACACTGTGCTCGAGGAAGTGTGTAACTTTCTCTTCGGGGGGATGATGACGTTATGTATTTGCTCATATCAATCTTTCTGCTGATTTGCTGCACTCCTCGCTCCGACACGCGCCATCTTGTTGCTACGGCGATCGCGTTGTAGTTGTGCTCCTGCGTCGTCCAGTAGGTGGCGCTGGAAGTAGTTTTCTGATCTCATTTTGCACGTGTATGGTCTTTTAAATTAGCTTTTTACACGAGACTTTTGTTAGGTGAGGATTTTAGAATGATTGAAAATCAACTGTGGTACGTTTTGCCGCGTGCGCGCGGGGAGGGGGAGTGTCCCGTGTGAGTCGTGGGTGCTTGCGTGCGTGCGTGCGTGCGTGCGTGCGTGCGTGCGTGCGTGCGTGCGTGCGCGTGGCGCTGTAAAGTTTGTTCGCGTGAATTAAGAACACCTTTTTGTCATCGTCGTTATCGTCAGTGCGTGCGTGCGTGCGTACGTGCACCAACAGCAACTTGCTCATTCATGTATGTGTGTATAGTGAGAGGCGAGGCTCTCGCTCAGAGAACAGATGATCTGATCGCTACAGGCGCCGCCCACCGGCAGCGCACTAGGGCGCGCCCTGGCGGGCCGCGTGAAATATAATATCTGAGGGGCGAACGAATCTCGTTTGCTACGCGGTGACCTAGACTGGTACCCGTCCCCTTTCACAAGCGCTATATCGAGCTTGTGAGAAGGGACGGGTACCAGTCTACGCGGTGACCCGGCGTGTGACCCTGTCGCACCGCAAGCAACTCCTTATATAGATCTGATCGTAGACGACGCGACGTCGCTCGCGCACGGCTGGGCTCGTGGTCGTCGCAGACCGGCGATACTGAGATCGGTGTCTGTGGTGGCAGTCTACGGAGACACTGCGGAGAGGGCAGCCGGTGTTCGATTCGTTGTTTGTACAGCATTATCTTCTCCATGTGTTGACACTGCATTGCATATATATTGTACATACGCCTCCGCATTTGTCAAGTCTACAATTTTGTTAATATCGTACATCTGTGTGTCGTGTGTGTTTTTGCGTGCGCGCGTGCTAAC